GAGTCCGTAGCTGATCTCTCCTAATTTGTGCCTTTTGTGTCTTAATTTTTTGCAAACCTATTTTATAGCCTAAATAATTAACAGAATCTCCTCTCTGAATCTTTTCAGGAGCAATCTGCAATCCCCATTTAGGTAAAACTATCTTTATTTCTTCAAACAGTCTTTCCACGGTATCCATGTTTGGATCAGATAACAGAATATCATCCATGTAGTGATAAATTATAGACTTGGGAAATTGCTTGCATATTATTTCCAATGGTTGATTTACAAAATATTGACACAGGGTGGGGCTGTTTAACATGCCCTGGGTGAGGAGGGCCCACTGGTATCTCCTCAAAGGTTGAGAATTATTATAAGTAGGCACTGTGAAGGCAAACTTTTCTCTATCTTTTTCTTGTAAAGGTATAGTGAAGAAACAATCTTTTAAATCAATAGCTATGAGAGGCCATCCTTTTGGTAATAAAGAGGGCAATGGAATTCCAGATTGCAGAGGGCCCATAGGTTGAATAACCTTGTTGATAGTCCTGAGATCTGTCACCATTCTTCGTTTACCAGACTTTTTCTTAACCACAAATACAGGAGAATTCCAAGGGCTGGTAGATTCTTCTATATGTCGAGCATCTAATTGCTCTTGTACCAGCTGTTCTAAAGCCTGTAACTCTTCCTCAGCTAAAGGCCATTGCTTTGTCCATATTGGTTTCTCAGTCAACCATTTCAGAGGCAGGGCTGTTGGTATCTCTGAAGGGGCATCAATTGCTTTGTGTTCTTGTACAGTTCAAATGGCCGGTTTCCACCGTCTGTAATATCTTTTAATATTTTCCTCAGAAATATAGGCTCTAGAAGCAGCAGGAATGTTAATTTGGGTATTCCATTGCTGTAATAAGTCACGGCCCCATAAATTCACTGCAATATTGGCTACATATGGTCTTAGTTTTCCTAGTTGCCCTTCTAGCCCTATGCATTCAACCCATCTCGTGCTTTGCCTTACTTGAGATAGGGTTCCAATTCCCAGGAACTGAACATTTATGTCCTGAAGAGGCCAATACAGATGCCAAGATTCTGGAGTAATGATACTTACATCCACACCTGTGTCCAGTAGGCCAGTAATAAAAATGCCATTTACACACACTCTTAGCTTTGGTCTTTGATCACTTATAGAAGTCTGCCATTATACACGTAACTCATCCTTCAGGGCATTATTGATTGTAACAGCAGGCATGGGGCTTTCTAATTTTCCTGACGAGGCACGTTCTCTGCAGTAACCAGAAATGACTGGACCACATCCGACATGGGGACCTGCGAGAGGCCCCCCATTGCATTTCCCAATTGTAACAGGTTGCCTTGTCTATCTCTTGTTGACTTACACTCATTCATCCAATGTCTGCCTTTCCCACATCTCCTACATAAACCTGAAGGCTGAGTCCTTCTATTTTTGTTATTTCTAGAAGAGGCATTATTAGTATTCCTGGAAATCCGTTGTCTACAATTCCTTTTCATATGTCCCATTTTGCCACAATTAAAACATTTGGTATCTCTTGATGCCTTCTTTTACCATTGGAAATTGCTTCTTCTACCCATGCTTCAGTGCCATAGTCAAATGTATCAACATTCAGAGTATGCAAGACTCATTCATCCAAGGGCACTGATCTGATCTTTAAAGGCCCCAAGATCCTTTTGCACTCCACATTGGCAGTCTCATAAGCCAAAGACTCAATAATTATACGTCTTGCTTCTGGGTCAGATACCCCTATTTGTACAGCTTTAGTTAGTCTTTGTAAAAAGTCACTAAAGGGTTCTCTCTGACCCTGTTTAACTCTGATATATGATTCCATTCTCTGTCCTGGGTCTTGAACCCCATCCCAAGCCTTTAAGGCTGCTGTAGTATATATGGATAAGGTGTGTTCATCATAATTAGCTTGTTTCAGAGGATCGGAAAAAAGTCCTTCACCTAGAATTTGATCTAGGGAAATCTCAATTCCCTTTGCTCTTTCCTGCTGTTCTAAAAGTCTAGCCTCTTGTCTGAATAATGAATACATGATTTTAATAAGCTTTTATATAGATCATTTAGATATAAATTACCAATTTTAATCATTTTCCTGTAAGCTTGGGTATATGTGGCTTAGAACAAACATTTCAACTTTATTTACATCTGTCTGGTGTACTAATTCTTCCTGCTTTAATAGTTATTTATTTTGGTGGTGGGGGAATGGTATTTCCTGGTACAGTTTTGTAAAAGGATAAAGGAAGTCCTTACTGCCATATTCCTAGGATGTCCAGGAATTCTGTGCTAGATTTTTTGGAGGGGTTTCAGAAAATACAGTATGACATTTTCATTAAACAGTACCCTCCCCATTAGCATGTATTAGGGTTTAGTGAGGCATCAGGGTGGCCTTTTTCAGCCTGGTGCACATGAGTGTGTGGCACGCACACACAGACACATACCCTGCATTAACTTGCATTGTTCCCCTCCTCCCTTGCTCTCTCCCCAATCCCTGGGACAGTCTGGGTCAAGCCTGCTGCTCTGATTGTATTTGGCTGGAAAGTGACTATCGGTGCCTCCACAGGAGGTACAGAGGGGGTCTCTCTTCTGTGGTCTAGCCTTGGTTCAAATCTAAAACCACAGAGTCCTCATGGGTGCCCTGGGTGGGGGCTCTTGGGGGTCAAATACATTTGGAAAATATTAGACAGGGTGACACAGAACTCCCAGTGAAGTCTTTTCAAAGATCCTGGTTCAGGCTCATTAGGGGTCTTTAAAGGGTTGTGCCAGTCTTCATCCTGGGGTGGGGGGTTACTTTGTTGCCTTTGATTTCCCTTCTGTGCATGTGTGCTTGTGTGCATGCTTTCATACACACATACATGCAGGAACCTGGGAGGCCAGAGGACAGTGTAGGATCATGGAGTTGGAGTTGCCAAAGATGTGAGCTCTCCTGTTCCCTAGGTAGCTTTTAGAAACCAACCCAGACCTCCCCAACACATCACTCTCTCAATCCATAAACTGGTCTTTTACTTTTTAAAGCATACATTTTACTGAGTCCAGTTAGTGCTACCCATGAGTTTGTGTCTGTGGGGCCATCTACTTGAACAAGGACAACCTACTAGTAGCCACACGCGGAAGAAAAGTGACTCTCTTTCCCCCAGTGGTCAGCCACCGCTAAGGCATGTTGGATGGCACAGAGAAAGGCCAGAGCCAGATCCCTCACACACTGTCACTGCTGCTCACTGCCCCATCGATTACATGGGCTATGCTTGTGCTTTTTTGGGTGTGATACAGTTCCTGCTGTTCTTGATCTGCCTGTGACTTCTTCGGCCACCTTCACCTTTCACACCCACCCAGACCCTTGGTCCACAGGTCACTAAGTGCCCACATCTTCCCTGGGCATGTCACTTTCTCAGATGTAACCATTACCTTGTGCTCTTCCTCGTGTTCTGGAAGTATCCAGGAGATGGTCTTTGTGTCACTAATTAGATTTTCCCCATTCCCTCTCTCCTTATCAGACTCTTGATTTCCTCCACAGATGCTCACCACATCAGGAAATTACTTTGTTCTCTTAATTGATTCTTTGCAGGTGTCTAGTTGTTTGTTTACACTTACTAATTAGGGTCTAAGTCAGCTCCTGCAGCTCCCTAAGTGCGGGACTAATGGATGGGGTACCAACCTGGCCTGCTCTCTTCTTCTTATACAGGCACAGTCCTAACAGATGAGGACCCCCACCTTCACAACCTCATCTGTAGTTACCTCCAAGTACCATAAGTCGGTATTTCTCAGCCTTCCTAATGCTGTGACCCTGCAATACAGTTTCCCATGTTATGGTGACTCCCAACCATAAAATTAATTTCATTGCTACTTCATAACTGTAATTTTGACACTGTTATGAATGTAAATATCTGATGTTTCCGAGGGTTTTAGATAAACCCCAAGAAAGGGTCATTTGACCTTTAAAGGGGTCACAACCCACAGGTTGTTCTCAACATAGCATAAGTGGATTAAGCATTTCTCTTACTAACTCATGATAGAGATTTAATCTCAGCATAGGTCTTGGTAGGGAACAATAAGACCACAGCAATGCCTATGGAATTCTATATGTATGTGTTTTAAAAGTTTACCCAGGACCTGTAACAACATATTTTATAGTATCAGTGGAATTTGGTAGCAACCTCACAATAAGCATCCTTTTTTAAAAAAGAGATTTTTTTTTTATGTATACAGGGCTCATCCTGAATGTATCCTGAAGTGCAGAAGAGTACACCAGATCTTATTAAGGGATGGTTGTGAGCCACCATGAGGTTGCTGGAATTGAACTCAGGACCTCTGTAAGAGTAGCCAGTGTTCTTTACCTCTGAGCCATCTCTCCAGCCCCCAGTGTCTTTCAATCAGCACGGAAGAAGAACAGTTTCTATTATAAGTGGCACTGGGGACCTTTTCTTTAAACTTTAAATGAAATTAGCCAAGGGTCAGGCCTGTATCCTGGGCTAGAAGGAGACACAGCATCGCCTCTGGAAGGTCTCATCTGAAAGGAGCTCGCAGATAACACCAAAGTGAAGAACTCTAACCTGGAGACAGTTGGTGCAGCTGACAGGTGATTACCATTTGCCCTGGAGTGGGAGGGAGGCACTGCAGACAAAGCTCATTTGGAGCACCACACTTGACCCAGGTACTACAAGCAATAAGCGTGTAGCACTGAGCATATTTGCTCCTTGCATTAAATCCTTCTATTTCTGCATCTTTAGTTTGCACTCATCCTAATATCAACATCATTTTCTAAGACACACAGACACCAGCAGCTTTGTCTATAATATCCAAGATGCATGTCCTTTTCCATTGCAAATCACCTGTGAACAAGGGTATTGTGAGCCAGTACCCCAGTGTTGGACCAGCTGTGATGGATTGCCTTGCCCAAACAGGAAGGGCCTCGGAGCAGGAACACGAGGGAGCTTGGAGGCAAAGTTCAGAGGCCTCTGTATGTGACACAGCAGCTGAGCATGTATCAGGATTTCATCTGCTAGTCATGCTCTTCTTGAAGTTCCTGTTGGAAATTCAGAGAGGTCCATTCTGAAAGAGAAAATGTTGACGAGAGAGACTATCAGGGAAGCTGCTCTTTTGAGGGTACACTGAGGTTCCCCCATTTTAGAAAATACCCACACTTAGATATCAGACTAGGTATGAAACCCACAGAGTGGGGAGAGAAATGAGCTTCTTCTCCTAAGGGTTAGGGCCAAACTGCTTCTTCTTTTAAATTCCCCTTAGTGATAAAATAATTTTCCCCTTTACTTAAACCCAAGACCCAAGCTCTCCTGTCTCATTTCTCTCCCAATCTCTCTTTCCATTCTTCTCCTTCAGGTACAATCCTTACACATCCATCCCTGTAATGTCTGAAGTTTATTTAGAGCAAAAAGCTTTATTGTGGTGTGAACTTGTGCCACAGTGCACACCTGGAGGTCAGAGGACAACTCTGTGCATTCCATTCTCTCCTTCAATACTTACGTGGGTGCTGGGGATTGAATCAGGTTGCAAGGCTTGCACAGAAAGTGCCTTTACCCATTGTTCTCACTAGCGCCCCCATATGTGATAAGAGTTTGAGTATTATTGGGAGACTCTGTCCAGGAATCACAGCAATTCAAGCCTTCTGCAGGTATTACAGGTTAGAGAGTGCTCAGAGGTGCCTTGGTGGGGTCACTGCCACAACTGAGGTGGCTCAAAATGTCTTAAAGGGGTGCATGAACTGTGCCTTCTGTAAAGGCTTACTAGACTGGGGACACAGGGAATTCTTTGCGTGCAGTTAATGTACGGTAAAAGGGCCTAACTGTGTTTCTTTAATGGGCTCTGGGTTCAGGGCAGGATGGGTTTCTTTGGCTGGCTCTGGTTTCAACCTAACTTCTTACCCAAACCCACTAGGCTAATTTTTTAACTTTTGTCACCTCACATTTTTTCTTTTTTTAAATTGTGTTCATTGAGCTATATATTTTTCTCTGCTCCTCTGCCTTCCTCCCCCTTCTCTTCTACTCTCTCCCTTGCTCCCAATTTACTCAGTAGATCTTGTCTTTTTCGACTTTCCATATAGATTAGGTCTTCATTTTTATTTAGGTTCTCTGCTGTTGTGAATTGCAGTCTGGTTTTTCTTTGGTTTGTGTCTAAAAACCATTTATGAATGAGTGAATATTTTGTTTGTCTTTCTGAGTCTGGGTTACCTCACTCAGTATAATGCTTTCTAGATCTATCCATTTGCCTAGGCTAAGATTCTTAAATCTCTGATCACAAAAAAACTTGGCCTGCCTTAAAATTCTCTGTCCATTTGCTTATGTGTAAGGTCTTCACGGGCACCTACACCTCTGACTTTTTCACTTAACAACATTTTCTGTTTGAACACCCAGATCTTTGTAAGCCATGCTGCCTAGTACACATTTTTGCTATTGGATTTCCACTCCTTCCAGGACTCGAATCCACCACCCTTGGCCATTAGCATACCTGCTCCAGGAATCTCAGTGTCTTCTGCTTGCACCTTATATCCCTCTTCCAGTCTTTTGACTTGGACCTTTTCCCTTCCCTTAAAAATTCTTTTGGAGTGAGCCAATCCCCTGATTCATTCTGAATGCATTTTCATGAGGATCCTGTAAAAAAAAAAAAAAAAAAAAAAAAAAAAAAAAAAAAAAAAAAAAAGACCTTTACAGGATCAACCTGGCTTCTCTGTGAATTTACCACAAGCCTCTGAGCCTCCCCATTGTGATTCTCCTCCTTCCCATGTCTTTTTTTTCAGGGGTAGAAGCAGAGGTGGGGAAATCTGGGTTCCTCTTTCAGATTCAGGACTCCATAAACCCTCCAAGATATTGAAGGGGTGGGGCATAATCACAGGGGCCTGAGATGACTCATTGGTTTCTAGGTACACCTATGGAAAACTCTGAAAACGCCTTCCAGGGAGGCCTTTTTGGTTTTGCTTCCTGATGAGCTGTGAACAGGGCACTATTTTCCCATTTAGCGCTCTCCAGAAACCAGAGAATCAAAACAGTGGGCACTTACCTTGCCTCATTTTCTGCTTGAACAAAATTCCTTTGGCCTTCCCACAGGTCACAGGAAGTGTAGGAGAGAGAAAATCTAAAGTATCATCCTTGGACTTTCCTGGAAGTGAGAAAACAGACAGACCTGGGTAATTGGCAGCTACACGGACCTTGAAACACCATAGAGTTGTAACAATAAACATGGCTCTGGCCAGTGCCTCTGTCATGAGGCTAGAATCTCAGAAAGATGAGGAATGGGCTGGATCCAGCCATCAAAGCCACAGCTTTAATCTTAGACATATCACTTAGCAAATTAAAGACTCACATGACAGAAAAAGAGATACAATAAAGATAGTTTTAGGCAAAAAAAAAAGGGGTCTAAACAATTTACAGTGTGTTTAAAAATATATGTAGACTTTGGAAAGAAAAAAAGAAGGATAAAGTCTTTAAAAGGAAAAGGAAAAAAGAGTAGTTGGGTGTGATGGCACACACCTTTAATCCCAACACTTGGGAGGCAGAGGCAGACAAATCTCTGTGAGTTCAAGATGTCCTGGAACACAACTTTAATGCCAGCACTTGGGAGGCAGAGACGTGTGGATTTCTGTGAGTTCAAGGACAGCCTGATCTACAGAGTGAGTTTCAGGACAAAGATACACAGAGAAACCCTGTCTCAAAAAGCCAAAAATTCAAAATAAAAATAAAAGAAATAAGAGTTTAATATGAAGCCACTCAAAGATGGAAAGCACACAGAGTCATGATACTGTATGTTATTATGCTCTCTTTGAAGTGTCTGAATGCTGAGGAAGGAGCAACAGCTGCTAATAGATATTTACTATTTATTAAATGCTGCTGAATTAATCCAAGATAGGTATTTTGAAAATACCTTGACTTCAAAATTAAACTCAAAATGTATGTTACTTTGGAGAAGAGATTTTACTTTTGTTGCCACAGGAAATGAGAGGTTGTGGATTCATTCTGAGTCAAGTAAAATCAGGTTTGATCAAAAAAAGACCCCCTGAGAAATCTGATAGGAGTGGATGGCCCAGATGTCTGAGTTCTACATCCAGAACTGATTCAAGACTGCTGCCTGAGATAATCAAGCCTCACCAGATACTCAAGTCAGGACTTGATCATAATTCTAAATTTTCTTTAGGTCCCCATAAGATTATTAGCACCCCCAATCAGCAGGAAGTAGCCTTGAAAAGTATACCCACATTCCCCCCAGATGTTTCTTGCCTGGAGTAGTCTTTCCTTCCTGGACGAAGCCAGGGGGAGGCACAGCTGGGTGAGAAGGACTGGGATGCTCATGCCGGATCTCATTGATTTGCAGTGAGCCTGCTTGCGGATCACCGACTCTTGGTGAAGAGGACAGATGGTTTGGTGGAGATGGTTGTGGTGGGGGTAGGGTCTGTGGACTTCTCTTATTCTCTTCATAGGCAGTAACAACTGGAATTAGCAGAGGAACACACATCAAGACCCTGGAAGTTATATGGCAGATGGGATTGCCTAGTGCATCTTTTCCCACAGCACAGGAGGCAGAGTTACTGATTTTCCTCATGTGCACAGAACAGGTTCATCACCACCCATGTCCATTCTGTGGCTGCTTTTGGCTTTTATTTCATTTGGACACTCAGTGCTATTTAGTCTCTGCTATATCACAAAAAATTGGGCTGACCATATAGAAACCTACTACTGCAGAAACTCCCTCAAATGTATACAAATGTAAGTGAAATGTAAACGAACTCATCATATAACAGAGGAGACAATGACCTGATAAGATATCATATGCTACCAAATAAAATGCGTAGTTCCAGGCACATCTTTATGAGTCATTGGCCAAAGGAGTACCAGAAGTTCCCTTGCCCCAAACATTACAGATCATTGCCAGTGCTATTGGTTACTCTCCATAACCTGCTAATAAGAACCTGTTGATGAATGCACCACACTTATGCCATCTTGCAGGAAGAAATCACGCTAGTGTCCAACTAGAAGCTTCACCACCATGGACTAGCATTCTTAGTGCTGGAGAAGGTCCTATGCACACTACCAGAGGTGAAAAGTCATCATCAGTCTCACACAGCTAGGAATGCTGTGAGCTACAATAGTGAATTACAATACTGTGACCTGCTGTACTCACTAGTGCAATAGTGGCACAAACTTTATGGGGGTGACCAACTACCTTTCAATTGGATGTAAGGGCTGCCAGTTTTATGAGATTGAACCCACATTTGACAGTGTTAATATGTCCAAATATCTAAGAATAGATAGGTCATGGACCTCAAGTAAAACCTACTACATTAATTTTCTAAATGAGCATAGCAACACAATCACTACTAATAATGTTTTGTTATGCTCATCATGATAGCTATTTTGGGCTAAGAACTTGACCACATCTGGAATTACCTAAAACCCAAGTGGCTGGGTACACCTGTGAGGGAATTTTCTTAATTAAATTATTTGAGGTAGAAAGCCCCATCTTAAATCTAGATCTTTTTAGGTGGTAAGCCCCACCTCTAATCTGGGACACACCTTCTTCTGGCAGTTTATATAAAGGACATATAAAAGAAAGCTAGCTCTCTTTGCATGCTTGTTTTTGCGGGCAAGAACTGGCATTAGAGCTTACTTCTTTTGGATTTCTGAGTATACTGAAGACAAGCTGAGATACCCATCCTCCTTGATTGAACAACTACTGTATTATTGAACATTCCATCAGTGGACAGCCATTGTTGGACTAGCTAACTACAGCCTGTAAACCATTTTAATGAATCCTTGTTTTATAAATATTATAGACTCTACGAACATCAGCATAGGGATGGCACCACCCACCGTGGGCTGGACCCTCCCCTATTGATCACTAAATGAGAAAATGCCTTTTACCTGATCTCATGGCAGCATTTCCTCAACTTTGGAGTACTAGTTCTAAATGGGATATCTGTTATGTCCCCCCTCAAAGCTCAGGGATCTGTGCTAAAGAGGAGGTGCAATGAGCAGAGGTGGTAGATGAGTCCATGGAAACAGCTTCCTTTGCACACAGAGGGACTGGTGCATACTGACCTCACAGAGTTCAACATGTGTCAACATGCCCAAGACCAAGTCCAAACCAGACAAACATCTGAGCACTGAGAATGGGAAGTGGGCACAAAGTTCCACTCCTAACCAAGAAGGTATATGCAATTAATACATGAAGGAGAAGGGAAAATCAGTTTTCTTCAATGGATTGACGCTGGATAATCAATAACACTCCAGGTCAAGCCCCCATGCTGACGAATCGTTGGCTAGTACAAGATGGACTCCATTTTTTTTCTTTTTCTTTTTTCAGTTTTATTTGTGCTTTTTGTCTTTTGTTCTTATTTGGGTTTGAGGGGTTTTTTTTTGGCGGGGTATTTGTTTGTGTTTTGTTCTGATTTGGGTTTGAGGTTTTTGGAGGGTTATTTGTTTGGTTTTTGTTTTTTTCTAACATAGGACTTCCTCTATGTAACAACCCTGGCTGCCCTGGAACTCATTCAGTAGACGAAGCTGGTTTCAAACCGGCAGAAATCGACCTGCCTCTGCATGCCAAGTTCTGTGCTTAAAGGCCTATACTGGGCTTGAGTTTTCTAAGAGAGAGAGAGAGAGAGAAAGAGAGAGAGAGAGAGAGAGAGAGAGAGAGAGAGAGAGAGAGAGAGAAAGACTATGAAGTGGGGTGGGTAGAATGGGAGAAGCTGAGAGCACTTGAGGGAAGGGAGAGGATGTGACCAAATGTATGGAAAAGGTTTTGAAAAATGACAGCAAAAGTAAATAAATAAATAGAAGAAAGTTAAGCAAAACTGGGTTTTGAAACACAAAATTGGATATTTTGTACCCAGGGCTTTCATTTCCTATAATTCTAGTTTTATAGACCTTAGTCAATTGTGTAAAATATTAACATACAATTTTAATTGTGCAATATTAATAAAAGTCCCTATTTGAATAGATAAATATATCTCCCTGGAGTAGTAAATAAAACAAGGTCTCCTTAGCAGAGTGTATTGAGACCTTGATCTTCTGGTTTCTGCCCATTCCTGCAGGTCCTATTGCACCCTATGACCTGGCTACTCAGTGGGACTGACCTATGACCTTCCTTTCCATTCCAACACCAGGCCTTTGGTTTCACACACACTGTTCCCTTTAATAGATTTGGGCTGGTTTCTCTTAAGACTGTTCTACATCATTTATTTCAGAAATAAAGATGCCTTGACCGATGAATGGCAAAAGTCATGGACACCAACAAGGTTCAGAACAAAATCACAGAGCTACACTGGCAGGGAGATGAGCCCGGTCAGGTCTAGGAGGGGCTCAGCATATACTGGAAGCTCGTGTTCCTCAGGCTTCGCTGGGGCCAGATGCCTGGGCAGCTGCTCTGGTTTCAAGGTGAAGCCTACCCTCCACTGTACTCTTAGCTTAAGGAGTCACCTCTCCTCTAGGGAGGAGCCCTTTAGATGGTGAAGAGTCATCAATAGTGACCCAGCGACGACAGTGTCAAAATGCAGTGTGATTGTGTTGGACTCTGCTGGGTATGTTCTCTCCAGTCTCCAGTGGTTTTACTGCCTGGTGATCCTCTTACTCCCACCTCAACTTGTCAAACCTGTTTTCTGCCCCTCTCTCTGTTCCTTTATTTTCCAGCTATTAAAGTTTGTATGTCAAATGTCCCCTCAAAACTTTGGTGTTAAGGGTCTGGATCCCAGGGTGACACTACAGACATGGTTCTCAACCCCTTAGGGGCTCAAACGATATTTTCAAAGGGATTGAATATCAGATATCCTGCTTATCAGATATTTACATTATGGTTCATAACAGTTGCAAAATTATGGTTATAAAGGAGTAATGAAAATAACTTTATGGCTTAGGGTCTCCACAACATAAGGAGCTGTATTGAAAGATGGCAGCTTTAGGAAGTCAGGCTAAGAATCACTGCACTGCAGGGAAAGAGTGGTACTTGAAGAGGTGGGGCTGAGTGGCCCTGTTTGGTCCCTGGAGCATCCCTTGAAGGGGATTATGGAATCCAAGTCTCTCTTCATTTTCAGAGTACACAGTGAGCTACTTTGTCACACATTCCTGCTGTGACACACTGCCTTGCTACAGGCTTCACCTATGAGAGGGCCGAGCCCTCCCAAATCCTTTCCCTCATTGTAAGCTAAATTATCTCGGGCTCTGATGAACGTCCCATCTCTTCCTGTTCCATCACACCTCATGCTCTGTTCTTTCTCCTACTCTGTCTTTCCGTCTGTGTCTGTCTCCCTCATCTTTGTGAGCTCTCTCTCTCCTCCAGCCTTACAAGCTGCTTTCCTGCTGGCTCTGTTGCCATAGTGGTTACTATCTTGGCCTCTGTATTGGCAAATCCATATAGGCGTTCCCAGTCCTACTTCTAAAACAAATGACTGTGGGAGTTCCCGTCAAACTTCCCTTGTCTGTCAAGAGCAGTTAACAATGATGTCACAGGTTGCTTTAAGGACTCAAAAGATGATCATGCAAATTGTGCGGTGAAACCGACCTGTCTCAGAGAGATGCACATTGAACCCGTTTCCCCCCTCTCCGTCTCTAGAGCTCCCTGTCTTTCTTCCACATCTGACCTCTGGCATTTCTGTCATCTCAGGTACTCCCTGGAGATGGCCCAGGACCTGACATTTTCAAGACTGGTGTGGTGGGCTCACACCAGTAACACCAGCACTAGCAAAGAAGGCCAAGGCAGAAGGACTACATCATGAGACCCTGTCACAAACAAACGTATACCCGAACAACAATTCACTGAGTAGCTGCAACAAAAACATCTGTGTCCTATAAAAATTCACCTTGGGACAACCGAGATCAAGGCAGCAAAGGCTGCCCCCTCCAGCTGCTTTCGTGAGTGAGTGTGGTTTGCCTTTTCACAGGAAGAACAAGCATTGGTATGCATATTTCACACTGGAAACAAACCCAGGCTTTTAGTATCGTAACACTGCACTTGGAAATGATATTGGAGAAACCACCTTACCATTTTCGAAGCTTCTGAATATTGCCCCTAGGCTGGGGTATTCACGTAGGTTGTCTTGGCTGAACAATATCAGTAGCAGTGACAGATGGAAAGTTCGCTCCAGACTGGTGAGAACATTGAACACCACTCTGGATACAGGAACCAGATCCTGACAGGCATCTATAGAATCCTTCAATGAGTAGAACAAGGATGAATTAGTTTGAATGGTTCTTCATTGAGCTGAGAAGTCTATATTTGTGGTTTTCTATACTGTAAGAAAGCTACTTTGGACTGCTGAGGCTGGCTAAGTGGGTGAAGGTATTGGCCATCGAGCCTGAGGACAGGCGTTTGATCCCCAGGATCCATATCATGGAAGGGAAGAACAGAGTCTACAAGTTGTCCTTCAACCCCCACACCATGCATGTGCCCACCTCCACCCACAAGCAAATACATGATTGTAATTAAAAAAAAAAGAAGCCAGGCTTGATGACACTTGCCTTTACTCCTAGGAGACAAACAGTCAGATCTCAAATGTTTTCTATTGAGGCCAGCCGGTCTACAAAGTGAGGTCTAGGACAGCTAAGGCTACACAGAGAAACTCTGGGGGGTTATAGGCCTAGATCTCAATAGTTGAGCATACTTAGTGGGGATTGGACTGCCTTGTGGAGGGTCCACAGGCCTCACCTTGTACATTTTTTTTAGTGATGAAGTAGTGGTCTTGGAGGGCTTCGAAGAAGGGGAAAGGCTTGTTGATGGCATAGGCAATGTCCTGCTTTGTCTGAATGAAGTGTTGGAGAAGAACCTCCTCAACGCCCTTTATCATAGTGAACATCCTGGGTAAAGAGGCAGGCTGAGGAGACAGAGGCAGAGGCTGTTGAGAGTATGGGGAGTTGCTCTTGTCGGAATGGTTACTTGAAAGTAGTCATCCTAGTCCTCAAGCATCCCTTAGTGGTCTATAGACCCAAGTCTTAAAGATCTGTGCATACAGAAAACAAAGGCAGTGCCCAGCGACCACAGAGGCTGAGAGTGACAGACAATAGCATGTCACTATCCTGAAAGGCGTTTTCAAGCATGAGGTAGCTTTTGAAAATATCTGCTATTCCCTGAGTGGCTGTTATGTCCAGCCTTTGTTCTTAGGATTTCACTGGCAGTAACTTCCTGAGTTCACAAAGTATGCAAGATGCTCACTGTCATTGCAACTATGTAGCTGTGGATAGCTGCAATGCAGACAAGGGTGGGGTAACACTCATGCTAGATGATACAATGTGGACAGGGCTGAGTAGGCACCAAACCCTGACTTTCTGCTTTACAGTTAAATTAGTACTTGACACTGAGCAGGGTTAGAACAGTTCACCACACTGCAGCTGAGCCCATCTGGTACCAAAGTTCTCAAGAAAAGGGACCACCAAATGTGGGCAGATAGAAACCTTGCCATATTTAGACACTGAAAAAACACACACACACACATATTTTGACACAAACAGGTAACACAAAATAAAACCAGGAAGGGTGTGAAAAATAGGACTGGTCAAAGTGATGTCAACATGTGGATTTATAAATCCTTTTCATTCTTCAGGACAGATCTGTGCCTTTTTCCATACCCATATGATGGTCATAAAAACCGACCACTTCCAGATCATGAGGAAATAAGCAGTCAGTTAAAACAGGACCAAACCTCTTATATGACACATCATTGGCAAAGTGTTGTAAAAGCAGAAGCCCTAGTAACCAGTGCCGTCATCTGCGTGAGCTCTTGGTGACCGGAAGTACCGAGGACTGAGCCCTCGTGCTTCTTTGGTAAGTGCCCTATCACTGAGCTATGTCCCCAGCTAACACTGAAGATTATTTTGTTTTATTTTTAAACACAAAGCAGACAAGGATCCCCCTTTCATCTTTTGTTAAATATAATATTAAATTGTAATTGGTGAGTATTTCCAGGGATTTAATCCCATTGGCAAATTAAGCAGTCCTGTTCATTTCTACTAATTTCCAAATTCCTTAACCTTGGTAAGAAAAAAAATAAGGAAAAAAGAAGGAAAAGAGGAAGAGGAGCAGCCACATCATCACCCACTGCAGGACTGGAGGGCAGGACGATGTACCATCAGCAGCCTTCAGTCCTGAGAAAATCCTGGCAGTTGAGGACAGGTGTGAGAGAAAATTGTTGACAAAGCTCATGCGGGGAGAGGGGAGTCCAGGATGGACAAATACTCTGGGCTCTGTTTAAGATGACTTACTACATGGCAGCATTCAGAGTAAGACAGTGACAGTGTTCTCATTTGTCACCTGCCATGGTTTCCAAAGGATGAAAACCAAACCCCAAAGGAGTTAAGTAACAAAGCCTAAGGAAATCAATGGTACAACAGAGTCTGCCTGGCACTAACATATATATATATATATATATATATATATATATATATATATATGTATATTTACTGTGCAAGATACTGTATCTTAAACCTGACAAAATGGCTCATAATCTCTGGAGTCTGAGGTGAGCCTGGTCTACATAGTAAGTTCCAGGATAGCCAGAGCTACATAGTAAAACTCTTACTTGAAATAAAAACAGAAAAGAAAAAAAAAACAGATACTGTATCTCATAGATACTGCATTCAAATTTTTATTATGTTAAAGGGTCTTTTTTTTAAATATTTATTTATTATGTATACAATATTCTTTCTGCGTGTATGCCTGAAGGCCAGAAGAGGGCACCAGACCTCATTTAAGATGGTTGTGAGCCACCATGTGGTTGCTGGGAATTGAACTCAGGACCTTTGGAAGAGCAGGCAATGCTCTTAACCGCTGAGCCATCTCTCCAGCCCCCATGTTAAAGGGTCTTACAAATAAATTAGGAAAAGACAAATAAAGCCTAAACATGAGCAATCAATAAAATAAGCCATGTGTACAATAAGTGCATTAAAATACAGCAAATGGGAATAGCCAGAAAAGTGGGAATGACTTGACAGTACATATTCATATCAAAGCAGCCTACAGAGAAAACGGTAGTCATAATCCCTAATAATGGTAGAAAGGTAAACCAGCTCAAGGGTTCCATGCCTCATTTGGTAATCAGTATCATGAACCCTAAAATACGAATCTCTTTGAATTTTCATGCACAGCAATGTATTTCAAGGAAATGAACATAAATTTACCAAAACAAAAAACAAAACAAACAACCCCCCCAAAATAAAACAAACCCGAAACCTCATAACAGGCTACAGAGACACTCTTTATTTTTAGCTCATTAGCTTCAAAATTAGGCAAATGCCTGGTAGATGCTGAAGGCATTGCCCACCATGGGCACATGCAGGGTTCAAGCCCAGAAGTAAGCACAGGAAACTGTCCCCAGCAGTCTTTAACTTTCAGAAAAGAAACTGTGTCTTACCTTCCACTGCATGCCCCTCCCTGCCCCTTATTGACCCCCATTAGCTCAGGCTTTGTATTAGCTCTTATAACTTATATAGTGCATTATTCTTATCTATGTTAGCCACATGGCTCGGTAACTTTTTCAGTGTGGCAGGTCAAATCTTGCTTCTTAGGTGTTTGAACAGGACAGCAGAGGAAAGGTCTTCCTCCGTGCCAGAATTATCCTGTTCTCATTGCCCCCCCCTTTACTTCAGTAACAGTAACATACCTTTTGACTTCAATTTTGAAGTCAAGGTATTTTCAAAATACCTATCTTGGATTAATTCAACAGCATCAATGAACTAATATCTTTGAGCAGCTGTTGCTCCTTCCTCAGCATTCAAACATAGAGAACATAACATATAGTATCCAGATTCTCTGTGTATTTTTCATCTTTATGTAGCTTTATTTTAACCCCTATTTCTTTTATTTTTAACTTTAACTTTTTAATTAATTTATTTATTAAAGATTTCTGTCTCTTCCCCACCACCGCCTCCCATTTCCCTCCCCCTCCCCCAATCAAGTCCCCCTCCCTCATCAGCCCAAAGGCAATCAGGGTTCCCTGCCCTGTGGGAAGTCCAAGGACCACCCACCTCCATCCAGGTCTAGTAAGGTGAGCATCCAAACTGCCTAGGCTCCCACAAAGCCAGTACGTGCAGTAGTATCAAAAACTCATTGCCATTGTTCTTGAGTTCTCAGTAGTCCTCATTGTCCACTATGTTCAGCAAGTCCGGTTTTATCCCAGGCCTTTTCAGACCCAGGCCAGCTGGCCTTGGTGAGTTCCCGATAGAACATCCCCATTGTCTCAGTGTGTGGGTGTGCCCCTCACGGTCCTGAGTTCCTTGCTTGTGCTCTCTCTCCTTCTGTTCCTGATTTGGACCTTGAGATTTCTGTCCGGTGCTCCAATGTGGGTCTCTGTCTCTGTCTCCTTTCATCGCCTGATGAAGGTTAATATTCAGGAGGATGCCTATATGTTTTTCTTTGGGTTCTCCTTCTTATTTAGCTTCTCTAGGATCACTAGTTATAGGCTCAATGTCCTTTATTTATGGCTAGAAACCAAATATGAGTGAATACATCCCATGTTCTTCTTTTTGGGTCTGGCTTACCTCACTCAGGATAGTGAGACAGATTTTCTGTATGTCTTTGACTATTCTGGAACTCCCTCTGTAGATCAGGCTGTCCGTGAACTCACAGAGGTCCCTGTCTCTGACTCCCAAGTGCTGGGATTAAAGGTGTGCACCGCCACACCTTGAATTCAGAGATCTTTCTGCCTCTGCCTTAAAAGCTTTGGAATTAAAGGTGTGTGCCACCACACCTAGAACTTGCAGAGGTCTCTCTGCCTCTGCCTCCCAAGCCTTGGGATTAAAGGCGTGTGCCACCACACCTTGTATTAACAGAGGTCTGCCTGCCTCTGTCTACGAAGTGTTGGGATTAAAGGTATGTACTACCACACCAAACTACTCTCTTTTCTTATTTTAAGGACTTTAAGCTTTAGCCTGCATACATTTTTAAACATAGTAAAGCATGTATAAGTTCTTTATCTTTCAATCTCTCCTTACTGTCTCTCTTTTTCTGACTACATGAGTTTTTAATTTACCAAGCAATATGGGTAGGACTAAAGCTGTGGCTTTGATGGCTGGATACAGCCCATTCCTTAGCTTTCTGCGATTTCAGCTTCATGGCAGAGGTAGTGGCTGTAGTCATGTTTATTGCCGCAACTCTATGGCCTTTCAAGGTCCCGCCAGCAAGCAAACTGCAGCAATGTCCTCACAAACCACAGTCAAATAATACACAATCCGATCACCTGCCTGAATGATTCAGAGTATGTCCTGGCAGGATGGCTGGCATTTTCAAATGGTGCGGCTTTTTTCCTACTATGGCTGAAAAACCAAAAACCATGTGGTCAGCTTTTCATCAACACCATTTAAGTGTTTGTTGTAGGATCTCTTAAAGAGCTGCAGGGTTTTGCAGCTAAAGCTGAGTTGGGAAGCCTCTCTTAGATGAGAGCACTTGCTTCCCTCTAGCAAGCAGAGCAGAAATGAGAAATTGCTGCTACCAAGAAAACATGCTTTACTCTATTATTTTCCCAACCTTTCTCAGACTTTCTGTAGATGCAGTTATCTACATGGGTGCCATTCTGTAACACGAGGGCCTGCTTGTTGGGGTTTTTGTCCTCCCACCAGGTCCCACAGCTGTTTGGCCCCAAAGAAAATCACACAGCAAGTCTATTTAATGATAAACTGAATGGCCCATTAGCTCAGGCTTCATATTAGCTCTTATAACTTATATAGCCCAGTAACATGAGGGCCAGGCTTGTTGGGGTTTCTGTCCTGCCCAGTTCCCACAGATGACAAGTCCCAAAGAAAGTCACACAGAGGTCTCCTTAGGTTATAAACTGATTGGCTTCTTAACTCAGGCTTCTTATTAGTT